AATTTATTTGCGACATTCTACTGACTTTAATTGAGATATATATCACATCAGATTATGAATTTTCATCGTCCTTTTGCTAAAGAAGACTAGAAGACTAGCTGAAACATATACAATTTCATTTTATTCACGTAAGATAAAGCTTTTTCAAAGCGAATTACGCACCGATCACTATGCCAATTCCCAATTTCCCGATATGCAATTACATTACTTAATAAGAAATTAATTGTTTCTCAATTATTTATTAAGTTATTTTCATCATTCAGATCCTGGGAGTTACACTATATTCTGTAACAAAATATCATTTTATATATTATATGTGTACATATCTTGAATATTAAATATGATAGCATGTAATTACATGTGGGATATAATTATATGTGGCACCATATTTACTCATATAAGGAACATAAAATATTTCGAGATGGCAAAATATCTGGAAAACTATAAGTTTTATAAAAAAATATTTTAGATAAAGGTTGTAGAGTTTTAAAATGCCTAGCTGCTGGCTTCATCAGTTTGACTTTGAGTGGCCTCAAGGTAGAGCAAAATCAACTCGGATTTTTTAAGTAAGACTCTCCACTTTTTCTTTCATTTTCTTATAGTCCTTGTTGTGACCTTTTCAAAACACTGTAACTTTATTCATTTCAGGTCAGTCGTTTAGAAGTTATTGAGTATTTTATGGTGAGATGTCAGCGACTGTAGATGAATCGAACATAAAAACTATTCATTTTTTTAAGCTAAAATTTATATTTTATTTAGCAGGTCATAAGCTGTAACATATGATAAAACCATTTGATTTCACGAAGACTCAATTTTATATAGTATTAGTGCGGGATCTTTTTCGTCTCAAATAATTTAGATATTAATACATAAAGTCTGTAAAGAATGAATTCGAATTACTGTCCTGTTTTTCTAATATATAATCGATTAAACATCGCAGATTTTTCTGTATCATTGTAGTATTTTTGCTGTAATGCGACACGAATTTTTAGATAGCCTCGAAATCACATTCAAAAAGTTAATGAAAAATGAGTCTCAAATAGTTAAATTCACGAGGAAACTCATATAACAATATCACAAATATGATATTAAAGTTTGAGTCAATAAAAAATCTTGATTTTATATATTTTCTCGGTAACTGAGGATGTCTATTAATATAACAGCATCGCACTTTCGAGAACCAATAAGGAGATTGTCTTGCGCATTCTTACCATTTCTTCGCGAGAATTGCTTTACACTTTTTTTGCTAAAACTGTACTTTTGACATATTTTTTTTTATAATGCAATTGTGCGGATATTTTTTTCTTTCGTATAAATATCTTCATATAAATATCAGATAACTTGTGCCTATATTCGTCTGCTCGCAAAAATGTGACGTTGCCACGATCTAATATCTGGAATTCTCATATATATAACTTCCCATATATTGGCTAACGCCAATTAAGAGCAAAAACACCACGGCGCAGACGATATCTACTTCTCATTTAGATAGTGTACCCGCTTCAGTATGCATGCGCGCGTTTCTAATCAATTTTATCATATATATATATACATACATCTGGTCCGCGTTTGCATAGTATATATTGTATTACGTATATGATTATACGCGTGTCCAATATTGTTGTTTATATAAAAGTGTCTAAAAAAAGAAACAAAAATGTAACTTTGTTACTTATACCAACGCATGTCCACACTTGAGGTACATGAGTCGAAGTATACTGTCGAAGTGAGAGATCCGATATTCTCTATCTCGCTATCTTTGCACACACCCCACTCCCAAAAAGAAGCTGCGTTAGCAATATAGGAGTATTACATATTTGAAATTCCCATGTAACAACAAATTCAACTTGAAAGATCTGAAATTCCAAATATTCAGACAGAACGGGATTTCCAAACAAGAGTTGGCATGGAATATATCTGGAACTCCACATGTAATTTGGATATAACAAGATTTCCAATGCGAAAAAACCATGATGTAAGAAGACAAAGTACATCATTCCCAAGGATGTGCAGTAAAGAATTGAATTGAGGCCAAAATTTGATTGGTTTCCAGTATTGTTATCGCTATTATGCGAACAATACCTTGTATTGTTACATCATGCAAGAAACCACATTTAATCAGATGTGGTCAAATTCATATACGACATGCTTGGAATTTTTAGCAGAGATATTATGATTCCTAATACCTACAATGTTGCACGATACAGTGCAATCTGCAATATTGCAACATTTCTGCAATATTACTGCAAGTCTGTGCTGTAAGAAGAGTTCAAATAGTCCATCGCTAATTAGCTAATTTAAAATAAAATATTCTCATTAAAGCAGTGAAAAGTTATTAGGAACCGACCGATGTTTGTGCTATAGCACTATGCGCTAACGGGTCTCTTCCGTGCTGTATGGGTACATAAATTGAGAAAAGATCTTAGAAATTCTTAATTTTTCATGAATATTCGTAGTGGGACGTAAATGAGGTTTATTTATCTCAAAAATCCTTAGTTTTTGTAGATATTTATAGTGGAACATAGGATACGATCAACGCAACACTACAAATGCTTTAAAGCAATTTTTGATTGGTCAATTTATAAAATTTTGTTTTCTAATTGGTCAATCGAACGCTTCAAAGCATTTATAGTGAGACTTTGACCGCAGCTATAGTGTTGTTTGAAGGCGGAGGAGTTCTTGATTTTTTAAACAAACAACACTACTCTATGTCTCACTACAAATATTATATCTATGAAAAACTAAAAATTTCTGTGTCTAGAAAAATTAAAAATTTTGTCAAAACAATATATCAAAAGACTCAATAAAATTAAATAATAATATGAAACAGAGCTACAAGCCTAATATAAAAATTTTTTTAATAATATAAATAGTTAAATCATAAATAAAAACACAAGTTATCGGTTTAGAGACATTATTAATTTTTTAAAATACTACAGACCTTTTAATTTACATATCTTTTTATTTAGATATATTTTATATTTTATATTGTAAGTAAGTTCATAACCTAATTTGTTAACATTGAAAATGACCCGATCGGATACAAACCGTTTGTATAGACCATTGTTTTTGTTTATGATTTAACTATTTATATTATTAAAACATTTTTATATTAACCTTCTTGTAGCCCTCTTTCATATTATTAGGTGTTGGAATTAATTCGTAGCGTTTTACAAGTGATGGGAAGTACTTTCATTAATGTATTTTTTAATGCTCATGTGAAATAAATAACATTCTTTCATTAAAAAACGCTACGAATTAATTCCAACACCTAATATTATTTAAGAATTTTGTTTCAATTTATATAGTTTTTATAAAAACTCTCCGCCAGGATGGTATACATTTTTTTTTTAAATATTTTACGTTTGAAATCCATTTTCAATGAAGCTCAAAGACTACAATACAAATAATTACAAATAAAGTATTTCTGACCGAAATATTTTAAATTTTTTAATACAAAAAGCGCTAATTATGGTCAACATTAGATGTTAAGAGTAATATACATTTTTAGAAATATTTTGCACAAAACTGGAATATTCATTTTTATTAAGATTCGATATTTACTATCGCTGGAATTAATTTTCTCTTTACAGTTTAATTTACAGTTCATTTGAATATTCATAAAAATCTTTGACCAATCATGGAACTTGGTTCTTCTTATGCATCAATGATTCTAGAGAAAATTTGTGAAAACATAGAAAAACCATTTACTTATTTTATAAATGATTGAAATAATAGACATAATTCCTCATATCAAATATAAAATGTAAATAATTTTCCATAAACCATTTAGAAAATAGAAAATGCAAAATGCCATTTCTATTTTTTAAATACATATGTATATAAAATGGAACTATTTTAAATATTATTCAGCCCTGTATTATACAGGCTATATAATTATGTACTATAAATGGAATCCCAATTAAGTTAAATCACATTCAGTTAGAGGCTGCGCTCAAATGAAAAGAATAAGGAACAGAGAACAGAGAATAAGAATTTCAACCTATCAGAAATCATGTATTGTGGAATACATAGTTTTTGATAGGTTGAAATTTTTATTCTCTGTTCCCTGTTCCCTTTCTTTCACGGTCCTATTGGTATATTTTTTTAGATCATTTAATCAGCATTTTAGATCTGAAAGAATACATCAATAGCGAGCGCTCAACTGAGTCCGCTGAATGCAGCATTGTGCGCAGCCTCTTATACAAGAGCGCAGACATCTTATCTATATAGTACAAACCAAAGTATGCACATTAGAAACTCATGACATTAAACAAAGTGATGTGTCGGAACTTTGAGCGAAGCATCGCTAACTACATATTTTCACATGAATCAACGAAATGGGGGATTTTCGCCAGCGAAGCTTCGTTGCATGAAATTGTACCTTAAGACTACTTTTTCATGCTAACGCTCGACGCTCATTTTCAGTATCAAAACAGATCACATGATCAAAATTGATGCTTAGCATTCGTAACCTGTTTGACGCTTGAATCGAGCGTCGACCATCAAAGCTAAACTGAGCTTTAGCGTTTTTGATCACGTGACCTGTTTTGTCGTTCGAACCGAGCGTCAAGCAAGTATGAAAATGCAGTCTAAGGCTACGTTTCACTTAACGCTTGCAACACCCGCGAATCACATTTGTTCTTGTTTAACATTTGGGCTACGTTCCAAAACTTCCTCTCCAGAAGAAAATTTTACTCGAAATATAATATACGTAACGTATATAATAGCATATAGAGTAAAATCTTCCTCGGAGAGGAAGATTTGGAACATAGTTTTGAAACGACAAAGATGAAATGATTCCACAAGCATTGTAAGCGTTAAATGGAACAACTTAAAGCGGGTTCTACACTATAGTTGCAAGTCGATCGCAAGTTTGTTGCGATAGCCAATAAGAAGTGTTAATTCCAAAATGAAAGCTTCAGATTGGTTGTCAACAAATTGCAATAGACTTACAACTAATTGTAGAACCGGCTTAAGGTGCCTAGTGTTTGAGAGGGCGCTTTGTCATTTTTTTCTTGCATCATCTTTTGTCAAGTCTGTCCGGTTCGAAGTGGCCAATGCATTGTATTTCTATTACACGATTTGAGTTCATCATCACCAATAGTTCGATACTGGTCGGGTTCCTTGATTCACGGAGTGCAAGCCAATTAAATACGAAGGAAGGATTGCCTACTCCTAACATTGACATTTCTTTTAAATAGGTAAGAATTATTTGCACAATGTTGTAGTATACTGTTGTAGTATGTTGATTGCTTAAATATGTACTCATAGTACTTCAATTGCATTTTTATTAACTAATATATTGACTAATTGTATGAATGCTGTATTATGTCAATATTGTTCATCTTTTTGTTATAGTACATAGTCTGCAGCAAGAGAAACATTAATAATTAAATCTGATCAAAAAATTATAATGGCACATCCTACAAATGCTAATTCCTTAATAACGAGATCTGTAATTCCAAAGGTTTCAACTGTGCAAATAATACCTAAAACGATGTCGCTTCTAATTAAACCTCAAACTCTTGCATATGCTTCTGTCATAACTTCCACAAGAGGCTCGACACAATATCTAACTACAAGTGTACCTTTAGATTCTTTACCAAATAAATCAGGTTCTTTTAGAATCCAGCCTCAGGCTATAACCTACGAAAGTCCTTCTATTACAGGTCCCATAATAAATTCTATGCAAGATAGGCCTACAATTGTGCCTTCATTGGATTCTTCGATTACAGATTCATCAGAGGATGAAAAAAAGAATACTTCTGTTTTTAATAAGGATGGCCATTTTATTTGGAACCACAAAACCATAATGTTGTTTTTCACAGAGTATGAACAACATGAGAAAAAGTTGCAAAAAAAGAAATATCAAAGTAAAGAAGCTATGTTTCAAGCATTAGCAGAATCATTTCAAAAAAAAGGTTACGTGAATGCTACCAAAAATCACATGAAAAATAAATTTAAATTATTGAAGAAAAAATGGGACAAGTATATTCTACGGACTATGAGAAAAAATAGTTCTGGAAGAGGCATAAAACCTCTTTCATATGAAAAGTAAGTTATATAAAAGTTTTTAGTTTATTTTCTGTTTTCTGTGTATCTAAAGTCTGTAACACATTTTTTCTGCTGGATTAATTGTGTTTTAGTGAATTGCTAAAATTGCACCACACAGAATGCACAATTCCTATTTACTTAACGCAAGTACTGTAACAAAAAAATATGTACCATGTGCCTCAGGCTTTATTGTAAATATAATATTTTTGAAATGAATACTTACAAGAGTTTAATCAATTTACTTATTTAGTTTTTTTTCCTTTTTTGTTATTTCCACAGTATCCTGTATATTTAATAAATAATTAATGGAATTTGTTCTTACAGTGAAATGATAAGCATATTTGGAAAAAGTCTCAGTGGAGTGCCACCTTATGTAACTGGCCACAACGAAATTGTTTCTCAGAAAGTAATTTTACAAAAAGTTGGTCAAACTTCATCTGAGTAAGTAATAATTATCTCCTTAAGATATATATAAGGTATATTTTTCAATCTGTATTTTTTCGGATAAGTATTAATTAATGTGTTTTTTTGTTACAGGAATGAAAATGAAGAACAATCATCTATCAAAGTACATTCACCATTTTCGATACTATCAGCGATTAGTAGCAAATCACAATCAGTGGCGAATAGCGATAGATCATCTATGACGAATAGCAACTGTTCATCTTTAATAAATACGAAAGCAAAAATACGAGATGGCAAATTGTCGTTTATTCTGCAATCAGTCAGGGAATCTATTTGTAATATGCAACAAGAAGAAAATGATGCCAAACACGAAATATGCACAAAAATGTTGGTAGAGCTTCAAAAATGTAATGAACGCTTGAATGTAATGAATGAATTACAAAAAGAACGAAATATCATTTTGCAAAAGCAACTTCAGTTACTAGAGAGACTGGAAAAGAAAATGTACCTAACGCAAAAAGAATTATCAGATGAAGAATTATAAGACTGAAAATATTACTCTATATATATATATATATATATATACATATATATATAAGACAAACATAATTTATGTACAGATAGTTACTTCTCTATAAAGCTTATGATGATGTAAATTTTGTTTGAAGTTTTTATTTGACATCTAAATCATTTTTAATTTATCAAATTTTCATTTAAATATTGATTTCCGTAATTTTTTATGGATAATGTGACAAAACTTCGTGTTAAGCTTTGTAAAAGCAAAACTTTTTGAGTTTTTTTAGTTTTTTTACATAGTAAAAAGCAGTATTATTTAAATATTATGTAATTAATGCTTTTGAAGCATTGCACATACATTATTAATCACAATTAAAACGAAATATTTGGTAAATAAAAATGATTTGAATATAACATTAAGTTTTTTTTCTTAAACTCTTGCCATCTTAATATTTAAGGCTCTTGAGTATAGTTGTTAAGTTTCCAGTTGGCTGAAGATTCTAGTGTTGGGAACCAATCTTTAGTTCTTCGAAAATCTGATTTTTTATTAGCTTGAGATATTAATTTTACTCTAGTGATGTTCGCGCAGCTTATTCGCGCCTGTGTTAAGAATGTTGTCGCGTTGTATTGCTTTTTTTTGCTTTTCTTACTACACTGCATAATGCAATATTAAGTTATGCAGAAAAAAAAGGTTAAAAAATATTGTTTTAATAATAAGATAGTCTGTGATTATATTTGCATTTTATGTTGCAATAATATAAGAAATTGTGTTCACATCATGTTGGTTCAATAATAAAAAGAAAATGTGCAACAGTGATAACATTGGAATGAAAGCCTTTATTTTTTTTAAAGTAATTTTTTAGATAACAATTGGCCTCCGATTAAAATAGCAAATTTCCAGCGCATGACTTTCGAGCACCAGTTGGACAATACCATGATGTATAATAATAAAGAAAAGAGATGTACTGTTGTTAAAGACATAATATTTCTAGACCGAGCATTGTCAGAATTTTAATGAGAGGGATAGTCCTTATTTACAATAGAAAAAGATTCACTCACTTGGTGATCTAAAGATATACCTATAATAAGAGTATAAAGCCAACAGGGAAACGATGATTGATCCGCCAAATTGAGGCAAAAGCGGAAGTTGCATACCTATCAGTATACATATAATGTATACCATTTACACAGCCATTTACACTGTTTCGAGCGAGTTTTCTGTGTATCAGAAGTGATTTGTTCGTTTATTGGTCATTTTATTCGGCGAGTCCAGGAAGGAAAACTAATGCCAGTATTCACAGTCAGTCCGTGTATTTAAGGGGCACAATAAAAGGAACAGGGAACAGAGAACAGAGAATAAGAATTTCAACCTACCAGATATCATGTATTGTGGAATACACAGTTTTTGATAGTTGAAATTCTTATTCCCTATTCTCTATTTTTTGTTTCTTTTAGGCTAATTCTACAATGTGCTCTTCGTTTACTGTTTCTTGCTATTTGTCTCTATTTATCTCTTGCCTTTTTGGTTAATAAGACATGAGACAAACAGCAAGAAACAGAAAACAAAAAGCACATTATAGAATTAGCCTTATTGTCCGGAGCCTCTAAGGCTTTCTTAAATTTATCTTTAGATGCTCAGTCAATGAAATAATTCGTACAACATCTGAAAATAAATTTAAGGAAGCCTTAAATATAAAGCCGGTTCTATATTAGTTGCAAACCGCTCGCAAGTTTATTGCGACAGCCAATCTGAAGCTTGCATTTTGAAACAACGCTTCATATTGGCTGTCGCAACAAACTTGCGATCGGCTTGCAACTAATGTAAAACCGACTTAAGGCCTGACTATGAATACGAGCATGAAGATGTCTTTTCATGCGACGCTAAAACACTCGTTTTCTAGCATCAAGAAATATCGAACCTAATCTTTGTTATTTGTAGCGAGGAGACACTAGATTTCTGCCGTGTATATCATTGTGTTATTTATTCTGAAATTTAAAGTTCAATATGTTTAATTATAAATATCAGATATTTATGATGGAATGTGTAAATTTAATTCAAAAAGAAATTTCATAATATATTCTCATATTTTTTTTGTAGTACATAATATATCATATTCATGAAAAAGACGCTACAATGTCTTTCTCCTTTACAGGAAGGAATTCGCTCATATAATTAAAAACAAATTAATGTTATTAACAATTAATGTTTATAACATTAACAAATTAATGTTATAAAAAATACATATATTAAGGAAGAATGTAGATTTTTATGATTAAAATGAGATAACAATCATGTCTGTAAGTGTACTTGATGCATAGATATGTGCACATATTTTTCAATCTAATTTATGTCATTTGTTCATTCAGATACATCGTCGTGTCGTCGTTGTCGTCTTCGCAAAATCTTGTCCCCTTTTTCTACACCTTTTTTCAGCACTTTTTATACTTTTCCTGTATCTTTTTCTACACCTTTTTTGCACTTTTTGCACTTATTTTTTTACATTTTTTTTTACACTTTTTCTACCTTTTCTGTACTTTTTCGACACTTGTCCTACACCTTCTTTAAACTTTTACTACACCTTTTCTACACTTTTCCGCACCTCTCTCGTACCTTTCCAACATCTCTTCCGCATTTTTCATGTACCTTTGCTGAACTTTTTCTACATCTGGGGGTCGATTGTATCTTAAAACCTAATATTGGGTCATCTAAAAAGTATCCGCGGTTTTTTGTCACTAGACTAGTGTGACTAGTGTGGTCATATATCTAGTGACAAAGTACCGCGGATACTTTTTAGATGACCCAATATAAATGATAAAAGTAAGCTCCCACTTGATTGGATAGTTTGATCATAATGGAAATGCAACATTTCTCACGTGACTATTGCTCGACAAGAAATTCTATGTCGAATTGTATCAAATGGTTAAAGCGTGTCGAGATTAGTCGAAATTAATTGAAATTTGTCAAAATTCGTTCTATTTAAAGACATAGATTATTGGTTTCCAGTTATGGACATTATTTTTATGTTTTGTATGGACCCAGTAAAGAGAATGGATTAAAATGGATTGAAATTTTTTTCTATCTGAATGCGTATTTTAAATAAGGAATACTTTTTTTTATTTAATTGGATTCAATTAGATTCAATTGGATACAATTGGATTGAAAAACTACATTTCGTATTCAAAATTTGGAATTGAACAGTATTCACAATACACAGAAAAAGCTAATATTATTTTTAAATTGAAAGACATAGAGATATGCAATTCCTATAAATGAATAAAAATGAGGATTGAAAAGCATTGATTTTAACATTCGTGAATCAATATTTCTGAAAATCTGAATCCATTTCAATTCATTTCAATCCATTCTCGTTTGCAACTTCAAAACATTTGAATTTAATAAGAAGACGATTATGGGATACTCAAGATCCATTTGAAATCCCAGACAATACATTTAGAAAATTATATAGATTAGTATATAAATATATTAAATATATAAATATGTAAATTATTTAAATAACTAAGATGATGAAGTAGTCTATACAGTCGAAGCAAATCTTCATATTTTATAATATTTTTTGCGTAAATTTTAAAATTTCCAATTCAAACAAAAATTATGAAATTGTCAGATTATAAAATCCACTTAAAAATATTGGACATTAAGATCCGCTTGACCGTATAATTTTATTGTGTTAGTTATTTGAATAATACACGGTTCATAAATGTCCTAATGTTGAAATAAATTAAATTCTGTTATAAATTATACATATACACATATGTATACTTACGTGTCATAACAATTGTTATATATCACATTGGTTATGTATCACTCACATCTGTGATTTTCACTCTTGCATAAGGATATCATATTTTCATTATGTTCATAGCCAATTGCGCGTATTTTTTCACGTGAGATGAAAGTGCGAGAAATGAGAATATTCGGCGATAATACGCAGTCGATCCCCTGTAACACATCTCTCACACCTCTTCCACATTCATTTCGCATTTTTTCTGCATTTCTCCATAGGTTTATTCGCATCGCATACTCCAAATTAACCCAGAGAGCACTTGGATCACAGGTAAGGTGGCGGTTCGAGCAATTGCTTTCATGTGCTCCAATGTTCAATGACACGATGGATTTAAGACAAGTGAGCTTGTCACCTAATCTAATCCGTGAGACTACTTGAACGGATCGAACATGTCCTGTTTCGTTTCGGGTATTTTGTATTACTTCGATTATTTGAAAAGCATTTTTATACAAAATAAATGCGTTTTTAATAAATATTAGATGTAGTAAAAAGAAATCCATTATTTTTCCAATAGATAGCTTTAGTAATCTGTATCTCGTCTACGAGTGATACAGATTACTATAGTAAAGCCATCTATTGGAAAAATAATGGATTTCTTTTTACTACATCTAATATAAAAGTTGCATTATATTTTTATATTATATTATATTTTATTATGTTAAAAAGCACTTTTATACAAAATAAATGTGTTTTTAATAAATATAAAAGTTATATTATATTTTTATATTATATTATATTTTATTTTATTGTATTAATATTATTATTATTTTTTTAATTTTTTTTACTTTTATTAATTTTATTTTATTTTATTTTATTATTTTATTTTATTAATATTATATTCGTACCAATCGTATCATCTTCTGAGGTGAAACAAATGGAGCGTGCTCTTAATTAATCCATGAAGTATGCTCTAACGCGACGCGAACATCTAGTCGCCATATTGGTTCCGATAATGCGAACGTATTAGAGCGTGTTGGAGCATGCGACGCGAACAAACCTAATAAGTACCATAGTGAGACAAATATTATACTTACTTATTAGGAAGACATTGTAATTTCTTTAATTATTTGCAAATATCATTATTTTTATTATAACT